GTCTTCGCCTTCCTCTTCGTCTTCGACTCCGTCCTCGCCTTCGTCTTCTGGGAGGCGCTACGTGTGGCTGGAGCGTAGAGGCCAAGCTATGGGCTGTGTACTTTGTGCTTGGTTTTCCCAGCGCTACAGCGAGGGAAAGCCGACCTGCCGAAGGCGCCGTTTCTCTACGAAATGGTCGCGCTTCGAGGTCACATCGTACCACTCCACCCAAGCATCTATGTTCGAAACTTAAAAGAACATTTTATGTGTTTTTCTACATGATACATGGGCTCCGTTGCTTCTGTTTGGCATTTTCTGATTGTCTCTTGAACAAGGCAGTGGCGATTCGTGAGCATGCTCGATCTGATATTCACCAGCAAGCATGGGCTTGCTGGTGCAACCCTGCTGCAGCTGAGACTATCATCACGCAATCCGATGAAGATCGCCATCTCCTGCGGGGTGGAGTGCCACAGCTGAGTGATTGGCTTCGATTGTGGAAGGCTGTCCGCAGCACGAAGTGTAGCTTGAATGCATTGGAGGCCCTCTCGTTCACAGACAGCTTCTCGGCTTCAAATCTGTGACTTTATCAGAGTCTATGAAGCCAAAAGTCCCAAAGTCATACTATTCACGGGCAACATGTTTATCCAAACAGTTAAATTATTCAATATTATTATTTTAAACTTCATTTGGAAAATAGGTGTTGCCAAAATAGATGTTAACAATGTAATTGGTGCCTGAGGTTTCCTCTCGGTTGAGCGGGGCAATCGCAAGGAAGTGACCTCGGAAGCCTACCGCAAGATGGTCTTCGTCTTCGCTGATGTCCTTCGGCGAAAAAAACAAGAGCAGCTGCGGACTGCCAAGGCCATATGTGTATCTGTGGATGATAAAAGATGCTCTGCTTGACTTACTACTGTTTTCTGTGAACGTGATAGGTGATACCAACCAGACAATCCGTCTTTTGCTTTCTTATCTAGGTTTGTCCTGAGGCCCCTGGCGAAGCATTTCCTATCAAGCCACCCTTGAGGATGGGAGTGTGGTTCGTGGCGCACTTCAGGTGGGCAGAAAACATAATAATTTAATTGTTTAGCGCATGGATCCCTGTTGCCCCTATAACAGGTGTCGCTGATCGGCGAGGAGGGCCTGGATTGTCAAAAGGCGGAGGACGACAAAAGCCATGTGCTGAAGAACGCCATTGTTGCCGGCTGGCGATACTTCTGCGCAGGCCGAAATGGAGCCGTCGACGATCGCCTTCTTTCGCATTGCCTTCAGGCAACAACATGTTGGGCGTCCGACAGGTGGGGATTGTCCTAAATTACTGTCAATACGGGGTTCAATTTAGGTTCCTATATACATTTTTTCATTTTGGGAACAGTAATTTAGGGAAACTTCCAGGTGTCCCAGCGTCATGAAGGCGGCCAGGATGATCCGCAGCGAAGATTGCCGCAACTGCGAATTCGTCTTCAAGGACCCCTGCCATGTCCTGAGGACGATATGTGGTTTGGTCAGCGCCTCCTTCGACACCTGCGAATCCGTGCTCTTCAATGACAAGACATCAGTCGTGCCATCCATCATGAACAGCCACGAATGGCAAAACAAATTTCAATGGATGCAGAAGGTTGTGGCCGAACGGCCTGGGTTCAGTGGTGCCTTGAAGGCTGGTTTTGTTTAAAGGCTTTGGAATCATGTACAATAGTGGGTGGATAGACTCAACCAGATTAATCTGACATTGCTGACAGTCTACAGCAGCAGCCTTAGGCTTCCAAGCATCTATTCTCGACCTGCTACTATTCCTTTATTTAACAAAGTGCGACCCGACTAAGAGTCACAACTGAAAAATTAACCGTGAAGAATAGC